TGCAGGTTTAGAGTCCCCCCGTTGTTTTAAAAGGGTTGCGGGTTGGAGTCTATCCCCCGCGGCTGTTTTTTTTCTGCCGATTTGAAGGACAGAACTTTGAATCGGTGGGAAATTTAATGTTTTTGATTGTTTATTCAGTGTTACATGACTGTGTTTTTGTGTTTAATGATGTAAAGCACTTTGAAATGCCTTGCTGCTGAAATGTGCTATACAAATAAAATTTGATTGATTGATTTGATACATATAGAGGAATCTCTGTCCATTTTCACCGATTTCATCTGTTCAGTAGTTGGTCACTATAGCACAGTTGAAACCAGAGGTTTACATAAACTGGATAAGAAGACACATCCACCTTCTTTTCTCATTGTCTGAAGTTACACCAGACAAAACTTATCAAAAATTATTTATATTTGCTAAATGCTACAATAAGTCAGATTTATTTGTTAATGTCTTCAACACCAGAAGTTTACATACATTTCCTCAGTATTTAGTAGCTTTGTCTTTGAGTTGCATGTCTTGGGTCAAACATATTAGGTTTCCTTAGAGAAACTTCTCACAGCCTTACAATACATCCACAGGTGAGTCTCTAATTAGCTAAAGTGTGTTAATTAACCTATTGGTTAACCTATAAGAAATTTATTGGTTTTCCACCCATTACTTCTGAATGTAAACTTCTGATTTAGAAGACATTTATAAATAGATTTAACATATTATTTTTCTCATTGTTGTAGAATTTAGCAAGCAGAAATAATTTTGGTAATTCCAACTGACATGAAACAAGAGAAGCTCGGTTGGATTGAAATTCAGACAGTGAGAAAAAAAGTTGCCTCAGTGCATGTAAACTTCTGGTTTCAATTGTTGTATTTTACTTTTAAATGATGTTCTTGTTTACACAGAGAGTAAAAAAGCTTCTCAGCAGTTACAGGCAGAGTTTGATTGTCGTGATGCCAAAAAGTTAATTGCTGACATTAGAAACCAACTTCTTGATTCAAACAAAGTAGGTTTAAATGGAAATCTTCCATGTGTCTGAATAATTATGGGCTCAGCTGCATTAGCTTGTGTTGCAAAGGAAAGAGGCTGAAGCAGACCTGTAGCCCATAATAGGAGGGTTGGCATGAGCCTGGCAGGTGAAGGTGACTCGGTCCCCTTCTAGGACAGAGCGCGGTTCGATGGACAGGGTCACTGTTGGTGGATCTGAAACGAAGAACAGATACTCTTGGGACATGGAGTCTACAGCTGCATGGCAGTTCAGAGGATTATCTGATGCAAGATGCTTTTTCATGCATTAGTTACTAACATCCTTAAAGTCCTTCATCTGGTGGCAGATGTTACACACTTTACTTAACGTTATGCTGCTTGACCCGTTCTGCTTGGTCTAGTTGCCATGGTGGCAGCATGTTGGATTAGTTAGTCCTAATTTGTTTTAGTTCTGGATTTTTCATAGTTTTTTAGTTGAGGCATTACATGTTTGGATAATTGAGACCTCTGCTATTGGATGCAGTGCAGCTGGAAGAGTTTTTGCTTGTACTTTTTTTCCAAAGTTCAGACAGTAATTATGACGTGTCACCGTGGCAACAAGGAGTAGTCTTTACAGTTGGGATTGGCTGATTAGATAGCATCTTAAAAGCTACAACCCCAAATCCCAGATGATTTCCAGCAATATATCCAGGCAGAGATTTAAAGTGGAAAAGCAAAAGCCAAAGAGGTGGGTCAGCAGTGATGATGTCACACAGAAACAGTCTTCAGTCAAAGTAGTGAAATTAGTGCCTATGACGTGTGACGATGTGAGAAAATTCAAGAAGTATGAATACTTTTGGATTTATTTCAATTTGCTGCCTGGTGGTGACAGCAGCAGGACTTACGGTGCACATTAAGGGTGACGGTTGTGCTCTTGCCAGAGGGAGCGGCCTGGTTGGTGGCCACACAACTGTAGTTCCTTCCAGTGTCAGTGTCAATGGGGTGGACGGGAAGGTGGCTCCGCGTGGTCACCCTCTTCCTGTCTGAAAGCACCTCCTGGAGAGCAGACACCCAGTGAAAACACCTAGAGAATGCTTGACCACATTCCTGAGTCCAACTGAGCCCTCACACCAGACCTGTTTAATCCACTTTAGTCAAACTCCAGTTCATTTACCTAGAAAGTCTGCCTTGTTGGGGAGTTGTGAATGCACAAACGAATTCGGATACACTCTGGTGAGCCTACAAACCTCAGACCGAGTTTGGTTGAAGTGAACCCTGGTGTGGTTTGAATGTGTGTTGTCAAACAAAGCGGAGACCGCTCCAAAAACAGGAAATGCACTACAACCCTGGGCATTCTGGGTAAATATCAGAATGCAAAGTATTCTGGTAACCAAAATATACATGTGAGTGTCGTGCTACCAGGAGGACTGTCCTGATTTCTCTTTTGCCACAAAGACAAAAGAGACAAAAGACAAATCCTACAAACGTTAAAATCTGACGCCACTCCATTTTTGTTTGCATTTTGCGGAGAAGGAAGTTGCACTCATGTCTTGTTCAGAGGGTTTTGTGTTGTTTCTTTCAGTGGTTCATGGTGCAGCACCGCCGCAGGCAAGGAGGGGAACAGGCTGCTCAAAGAGTTTGGTTTGTTTGACAAAGTAGACTATCAGGTGGGAAAACACCTTTAAGGTCCCAAGTTAGCGCTACACTATGAACCCCTAAAGCAAATGGCAAAAACCCACAAAGAAGACACTGAGCACACCTTCTTTCTTCACAAAACATAAACAAAAATGGAGTGGAGATTTTAGTGGTTGTAAGATTTCTCTTGCACCCTTAAAGAGCCTGATGAAACTCACAGTGGTACTGACAGCGCCCTCTATCGGCAGCCCATCTTTCATCCACTCAACCACTGAAGGCGGTTTAGCTCCACGAGACACGCACGTCAGGTTGTAGGACTCCCCCGCGTTCAGCAGCACCTCCGGTCCTCCATCGATTACCGGGTCATCTGGAGGGACTGGAATGGAGGGAAAGACTTTAGAAACACAAACCAAGTGTGGAGAGTTGTCTCCAGAAGACGCCAGAAGCGGAAACGCACTCAGGACGGTGAGTTTGGCCCTTCTGGACCTCAGAGCGGCGTCGGGGGCCTGGCACTCGTACAGGGCGTCGTCAGACAGGTCGGCCGACAGGATCTCCAAGTTGTACTGACCCAGCTCCTGGACCCGCAGCACACGGTACCGGGGCCAAGCTGTAGCACACACAAACACACAGCCACCAAGATTTTAACAAGAGACAACTTGTAGGAAGAAAACACAGAGGTTAACGTTATATCCAGCCACTTTTTTAAACTTTCGTGTGATGCGTCGCTAGCCCATGTGTTCACATCTACTTCTCTGAGTTCAAAATGTCCCATGCATGACTTACGCCAGTCAGCTGGTTGAATGACTGTCGCCTCATGGCACAAGTCCCATAGGAAATGAATGGAGAGGGACTTTTCTAAATTACCGTTTAAAACAATGTGACTTCCTCCAAATAAAAACTTTGAAAACTAAGAATCTTCAGACATGCTTGGTTTGAGGCAATAAAACATTTTCCTAAGCATGTTTCGAAAACGTGCATTCAGTCGCCCATATCAGGGGCTGATATGGGCAACATTTATATTTCAAACTTACAGAGTTAGGCATATTGATAATCTGATTAAATTTGTTTAAACTGATTTGACAGTGCTAATCTTTATTTTTTTCTGCTGTACAATTTTCTATCAAACGATGTTTCAATGTTTTCTGAACAGGTTGTTGTTGAAAGTGATAATTTCTTCTCAAGAAACATACCTTGATTAAATAAAGGTTAAATAAATGTAAAAAAATTTCAATGGCCGCTGATAAAAGTCAGTCTCTTGTAGCCTCAGCCTAAAAGCCACCAGAGTTTCACTCAGACAGAAATCTATCCAGATCTTCCCTTCCCCCAACCCAGCTCCAGCTGTGCAGCCAGTATGCATTCTCGCCATTAGGTGGCGTCCTTGCACTCCTCTGGCATCACATGAGTAGAAAGGGTTTGGGGGGGGGTGGGGTTGAATGCATGATGACAGGAGTGTTTTAGAGGACCTAAATCGACTTCATTCCATGGTGCAGGATGTGTTTGTTTGCATCGCCGCACGAACCCCACCGTTGCAGTTTTGCCCGACTGACCTCCCTTCTCCTCGACTCTGGCCACCTTTCTTCCACACGCATTTGCATGCAGGGTGTCGCATGTGTAGGAGCGTGTGGAAGGGACAGAGGGCATGTGTTTGTTCACTTGTTTCCGCAAAGCTCTGCCTCGAAGCCTTCAGCCGTTACAGTAATGATGCGACGAAGTGATAGAAAACAGAGAAAAGGAGGGGTAAGGAGGAGGAGGGCAGGAATTAGGAGCGAGGCTGATGAGTGACGGGACGGACGAGTTAAAAGAAGAATCAGAGAGGGCTCAGTGCAACAAAGGCAGATGAGTGAAGGAGAGCAGCGGGGACAGGGAGGAACAGGGGATCTGAGAGGAGGAGGTCACACAGGAATAGCCTGACAGAGGAGAAAGTCCCAAATAGTCGCCTTGCGGTGTTCCACTGCGATGAGGTGATGTGGAGAAGGAAAAACTGCAGCGGACATGGAGACAACACCAACAAACACACAGCAACCGCATATCACTAACAGTGGGATAATCAGTTACACATCTGGCCACATGTTTTGATCTGTAACTGCGCAACTCATCCACCCTCCTCCTCTTTCAGTTGGAACCAGTGTTGTAACTCAGATGAATCACTCTGCTGGAGTTTGGTCCAAGTCCTACAGAAATCAAAGTGGAAAATCACTGTAGAGAGAGAAACAGCTGCGGTGTTCCATGAGTTAGCTGACGTATGCCGCCCTGAACGCATACCGGACGTTAGCCGGTTATTAGCTAGCTCCCCCTCGGTGGGCAGCGGCAGTGGAGGCGGCCTGCTTTGACAGAGGCGATGACAGCGTGATGCTGCTCAGCTGAGCTGACGGACTGAGAACAGCGCCGGAGGCAATGGAGAAAATTCCCACCCAACGTTAACACTGAGGCTGGGTAAATTTAGCATCCAGCTAAGGATGTGCACATTTTGGAACAATAGGATGTGACAGGGGGTATCATCTGCTGTGGGAGAAAAAAAAGAAGTGTCTCACTATCCTAACCTAAAGTTAATGTGGCCTCTCTTATATCTGGCAGTGCTTCCTATGCTTCACATGTTTAACACTAGTAACAACATAATGTTGAAGATGCTACAATAACTGATCTATCATAAAACATCTCAGATCCTTAATGCTCCATCGGGTTCATTGTTTTGAAATGGAATAGGTACTATTTCCTTTCTTTACTGTATAAAAGGTGAAGCACATATTTGAGTCACTACTATAACTGCCTTCAGCGCCAATAGTAGTCCTTTGGGATGTGTCTCTACTAGCTTTGAACAGAATAACTGAAAGTTTTAGTCATTCTTCTTTGCAAAATAATTGATCCACAGTCAACTTGGATGGAGAACCTTTTGCCAGATTGTCATTTATACCCTGATTCCATTGAGTGATACAGCAATGTACCAATGCGGTTAGGGACACTATTTTCTGTTTCAATTGTACCATTCACCATTCTAGGGCCCTTTTCAGTTGCAAGTACATACCAAAACAATGGTTTGGTTAGGGTACAGCTAACACCGTCCATTGATTAGGGGACGGAAAATATTGTTGCTTGTGTCGAACACAAAACTTGCTAGACTGTTTAGGCTGAACCCTGCACAGTGGCTAAGAAGGTAGAAGTTTGTCCTGTAACCAGTGGGTTCCTCTTTCGAATTCCTGCTTTGTTAGTCTCAGTCATTGTGTTCTTGGGCTAGACATTTCACCCCTCCTTGCCTACTAGTGGAGGTCAGACCACCTGGTGGCAAAGAGTTTTCTGTGCTATACTGCTTATGAGGTTGTAAGAATGTACCAAAGCACGGATGTATATGGCAGGTGTCTGCTTTGAGTTCACCTAAAATTCGCGCAGACCTCTGAGGAGTGAAATATGCCTAAGTATGTGAGGACCTTTAGTTGCAGCAAGAGACTCAAATGATTCAGTCTGAATTGCCTCCTGGCCATTTTCTTCAACATTTCCTGTGTGCCCCATGTGACTTGTAGCAAACTACAATCAGGAGAATGTATGCCATTCTTTCAATATTGGCTTTTTGTTGCTGTTGTTTCTAAAGGACCAAATTATGGAACATATGCCTAATTATTGTTCTGTTAATAGATTATTTCACCTGAGCTATGTGTCTCTGCAGCTTCTACAGAGTTACAGTGGCCATCTGGTCTGTTTCTTTGATCAAGAATCTACTGATGACCAAGTTTAAGTAGACACCCATGCTTTGGTCAGCTTGCAGTTGTGTCATATTCTTTCCATTTTTAAAAGATGAACTAACCTACAAAAGAAAACCTCTGAAGACTTCACAGGACACCTGGATTTACAATCATTTATTAGTAAGATGACGTCTGACAGTATTTGTTCCCACTGCATTTTACTCTGGAATACCAGAGTGAAGGAGGGTATTAGGTTTTTATCTGTAAATAAATCCCTCATAAAACCCAGATGTTTGTGGTTTAAACATGACTAGGCACTGTGACTGGAGGACACACTGACAGGCAACCTTGAAGACTTGGATTGTAAAAAAGCCCAAAGTAAAAAGATTTCAGCTGTTCCACTTAATGAGCTAACCAAAGTTGAAAACTGACCTTTGTAACTAAAGGTATTATATTTTAAACATTAGTGATCTTGTATTTGTACAAAATTAGATTTCAGTTTCATATTTGAAAATTGAAACGAGGAGTAATCTGATGATCTCTCACAATAAAGAATTTAGGAAAACAGCAGTTAATTAAAGTTAGCTCATAATCTCTTGCATTTCTTTAGTTTTGGCAGGGAACCGTTTCACAAAATGCAGCTAGTTTTCCCTTCTTTGAGATTTCAAGGTATACAGAGTAAGTAAAAGAGTGAAGTTCCATCTCTGGAATCTGACTTTAAGTACTTGGAAAAATTCTTCTGGGTGACATTCCTGCACCGGAAAAGCACAACGAATATTTAAGTGTTGGGGAATGCTAGTCAGATAAAACAAGAAACCACAGTCTTGGAAAATGTATTCCTAGTGGGATGATTTTTTTTCCACAAAGCAATTCATCAGTTGTAGAAAAGACTTGCTCTTTCATTTTTGGAATTAGAAGCAGAAGATGAATTTGTACATATTTTCCCTCTTTTTCTTTCCTACTAATACCTTCGTGGTCAGGGGTTTTCACAGTGGACTTGAGTTGGTGTAAATCAACTTCTTAGCATGAGGCTTTAAGTTAATAGCTTAGCTAGGCAAATTGTTGACATTAGTATAGCATGTTGTTGAAAGGCACTCTTTCAGGTAATGAAAGGGTAACTATCAGTGAGTTAGTTGTGATGCACAGGACAACAGTGATCCAGACACAAGTTCTGTCACATGCTGGTTTCTTTGTTCTTTTTAATTTAGGTTCAGAATCTGTGTCTGAAAGTAATGTGAAAACTAGCTTAACTGTACTTCAGTTCTAAACTTGACACGGTGAGCAACCAAACTATCTTGCTGCGATTTCTGTTTTCTAAAGCCATATCTGTTTCTTTACTGAAGACAATTGTAAAATTAAGTAATGAAAGTAATGTGAAGTCGTTCTCCTTGACCTGACTGCTGCCACTGATACTGCTGACCACAGGATTCTGCAGGTGTTACGTAAAATCACTGACTGTTTGAAGGAGATTAAATCCTGGATAACCAGCCGTTTTTTACAACTTAATAATAACAAAACTAAGATTTTTCTGTTTGCCCTTGCCACACTTATAATCTTGAAAATGGATGGATAATATGTTGTCTGTAATTAGTGTAGAACACAGTAGTCTGTCTTCTCACTGGTAAGCGAAAGCGTCACCACATATCACTCGTACTGACTTTGCTTCACTGGCTACTGGTGGACTAGAAGGTTGATTTGAAAATGTTATTGGTTTTTAAATCACCCCAATACCTCAGTTCAATGGCTGAATTTTTATAACCCAGTCAAGACACTAAGGTCAGGTTACCAGGTAACTTTTGGGGCAGCGGCTCCTAGACTCTGGAGCAACCTGCCAATGCCTATTAGGTGTTAGGTGTTTCTGCAAAAAACCTTTGCGGATACACTTAAAATAATCTTTGTATGGATGGGGCCTTAAAAAAAAATAATATTTCTGTTGGAAAACAGGTTTAAAATGTCTGCCATACTGGGAGATCTTTGTATTTACTTAAGTTTTTCTTGTCTTTGAAAAACGTGGGACTCACTGAAACCCCTCTCTGACAAAGACTTTTAGAGCTCTTTGTCATAGAGTTAAAAGTCCCACTGATAGGTGAATGTCTAATGTTCCCTTAAGTGTTCCCATGAACTTTACAACAAGGTGTCAAGTTTAGTCACCTTCATTTTCAGCAAAATCTTGGCAGAAGAAAAATGTTTGGTCCTCTTTGTGTGGGAAGTGAGTTTAACCCTTGTACGTCGAAATGGGGTCCCACTGACCCCACACACGTAAAACTTGTATCATTTGCCATAGTCCTCTACGTTTGCCTCAGTCCTTGCACGCACAAGAGTTAAAAGAGAGTTCCTTACTTGATGCAGCCTCGGTAGATTCAGTTAAAAGAAATCAGAAGTAGTTTGAAAACAGAAATTGTCTTTGTGTTATGAAGGCAAGACCTAAGGAGCGGGTGTGATGTCTCACCACGAAGGTCCTCTCCGATGCCCAGAGCCAGACCATCTTTGGTCCACTGAACAATGCCAGAGTAGTTGAAGACAACACAGGACAGGATCACCCTCTGGCCCCGCACCACCGACTGGTCTGCCGGCTCCTGAGAGAATCTTGCCGTTCTCACTGCTGGTTGGGAGGAAAATGTGGAAAGAAAGAAAAGTTAGAGACTTTACAGACGACCACCCCAGCGTTATTATTGGATGTGTCTGCTATCGGACAATTATTTCATTCAAATCTGCATTCCCCCAATAGCATTGAATTGACATCATTACCACATTTGATCACTCTGTGGCTTGTGGCCACAAACCGAGCACTATGGTAACAAACCAAGACAAAAGACAAAGGTATGAAGGGAAAGAAAATCAGAAAAGAGTTGAAGAAGTAGTATGAAGTTGGGTTGAAGGCTTTTCAAGTTCACTGAGAGGAGATTAAACAATGATCTTCCGCCATCGGGGTGGCTCCCGACTTCTTGCTCCCAACTTTTATGCCCCCCCGCCCCCCCCCCACCCTTCTTAATTAATCGGTTCTGCCTCCCCCCTCCCTTCCCCCCCCCCCTCATCCTC